TCTAGTTCTCTAAACTGTTTGGGGGCATAATGCAGTTTGCCCTTATCAAGAACTTCCTTCATCCATTGTAATTACTCTGCCTGGACACAGATCCTCGGATAAATATCTGAGTCCATTTCTGCATTTCATCTCCTTCACTACCGATCTTCTCACCCTTCCCCAAGAGCCTCTGATCCAGCAGGACCTACAGAGTCCCTTCTAGGTATATCTCCTTCCTATATTGTGCCCTAAGAAATAATGATGACAGGGCGGCGCCTGTGCCTCAAAGGAGTAGGGCGCTGGCCCCATATACTGGAGGTGGTGGGTTCAAACCCGCCCCGGCCAAAAACTGGGAAAAAAAAAAGAGAAATAATGATGATAACCTACATTTATTTGGCATTAGTTTCACTCTTTCTGCTGTATCCTTGAAGGCTTAGTAGAAATTACATGCATGAGCTTTAGTCAGATATAACTTTGAATCTCAGATTCATAGCTGTGTTTCCTTTTGGGAAAGTCATAACCTCAGTGAACATTATTGCCTCATCTCTAAATCAAATATAGTACCTACATATTCAGTTGTTGTAAGGGCTAAATGAGAAAATACTAGGTCATTAAATATGAAATATCCAATTTCTAATTAAAAGCTTAGTTTATTATACCTCAAACAAAAAACAGTACAGTTAAGGTATGTGCCAACACTATCAACACAGTTTTGCCATCTTTTTTTTTTTTTTTTTTTTTTTTTTGAATGGTAACTATGTACATCATTGCACTTCTGGGGTACAGTGTGGGATTTTCACATGCAATCTGAAATACTTCCATCAAACTGGTCAACACAGCCTTCGTGTCATTTTCTCAGTTATTGCTTTAAAACGTTCACATTCTACTCTTAGAAAGATTCACCTGTACCCCTATAAGATCCCTATAAGAACCTCAGAAGTGATCCCTCCAAACCCCCTCCCTCCACCCATTCCCCCCTCCCTTCTCCCTTCCCCCTCCCCATATTCTTAGGCTATTTGGTTATAGCTTTCATATAAAAGGTATAAATTAGTTTCATAATAGGGGTGTGTACATTGGATACTTTTTCCTCCATTCTCGTGATACTTTGCTCAGAAGAACATTCCAGTTTTGCCATCTTAATGGAGGTTAGCTTGTGTATGCTGGCAGCAGAAAAGCCTAGAAAGAGTGGCAGTGAAATCACAAAAGGCCTTTTCCACAGCTTGTTGAAAACTGTAGATTTTCCCTTGCAAGAATGGTCTAAAGCCTGGAAGAAGTGGTAGTTGTTGGTGCAGAGTGTGGGGAACATGGTGGATGACAGAGCATTTCCAAGTCCAGCTTCAGTAGTTTGAGTAGCATTATTTGCATAGCATATGCTCGATCACTGTCTTGCAACAGGGTTGTGCTGTCTGTGTTGACCAATCTTGGCTGCTTAATTGTAAGCATCTTCATCATTTTGTCCAGTTGGACATCACTGTAATCAATTGTCCAGGTTACATGAAGTTGTAGTAGATAGTACCAGCACTGGACTACCAAATAGATATTATTAGCTTTTTTTGATGAGTATTTAGTTGTGGACTGTGTTTCAGGACTTTATCTTTAGCCAACCATTATGCCAGACACTTACAATTGTCAAAAAGAATCCATTTTTCATTCATGTCTCAATCCAGTCTAGAAATAGTTTACTTTTATGTTCTGATAACAGCAGGGCGTTGTGGCAGGCGCCTGTAGTCCCAGCTACGTGGAAGGCTGAGACAAGAAAATCACCTAAGCCCAGGAGTTGGAGATTGCTGTGAGCTGTGATGCTACAGTACTCTACTGAGAGCGATAAAGTGAAACTCTGTCACAAAAAAAAAAAAAGAAAGGCAAGCTTCGAGACAATTTCTCTTCAGATACTTGTTCAATTCATGCAGAACCCATATATCCAGCTTCTTTATGGTGCTGAATTGTTTCAAATGGTTCAGTATTAGAATCCTAATATAAAACCTTCCTGCTAATTCACACATAGGTTAAGATGGATTTGGTTTGACTATAGCCTTTAGTTCATCATTATCCACCTTGGTGTCAGGTCTCCATGTGGCTCATTTTCAAGATTAAAATCACCAGAATGGAACTTTCCAAACGATCGATGTGCTGTGTTCATTAGCTACATCTCCCAAACACTTCATTGATATGTCAAGCTGTCTGTGCTTCATTAGTTCCATGACGGAACTCATTGGAAAATAACATAAATTTTTTACTTATCCATGGTTTCACAGAAATTGCTCTTAAAAAAAAAAATCAAAAGATAATCACAAGCCAAAGCATACATTTGAAAGAATGAGGATGTACCTTCACAATTTAAAAACAAAAAGTGTCAAAGAGAAATGTTAAAAATAACAGCTGTCAAACTTAGTAGTTAAGGAAATCAGATGCTTCATACTTTATGACCTAGCATGTAGTAAATGCTGATCATGTACTAGGAACAGTACCATAGTTTGTTTAGCCCTCTCTCTTTCCCTCTCTCAAGAAAGCTTGATTCTCTCTGTTCCCGTGCCTCCCTAGAGCTTCTGTTTCCTTTCGTCCTTTAGTTCTTAGAAACTTGTGGATATGTTGATCATTTTATGTAAAGATTACAGGGAACTGGGGACATTCTGGTTTTTGTTTTATTTTTTTAAGAGAGGATATCAGAGAGTTAGGAACTACAGGAAGATTTCACCTTTGGCCATAAGTGTGAAGAGAAAAGGTGAAAGTATACAGGAGCAGAATTCAGACTGGCTAAAGAATTAATCCTACTTTTGGAAACTAGACATTTAGTTTTGCCATGTAAAAACAGTACACATTATTGTTATATGTATGAACTGCTTTTTACATGTTATTCATCTGAGTATTGGAAATTATTATAATTTTAGTTCTCTTCTCTATAATGTGTATTCAAACACATACCCTTACTCAGTTGATCTTTGGAAGCTACATATCATGACTCTAAAAGATCCTTCTTGTTGTGTTTTTAGTGGCTTACTTATGTCTTTAAAGCAGTCCTTTCTTTCCTCTCACCTTAGGTCAATGATGCTCCGCCTGAGGATGTTGCTTTTTGGAATACTTTCATTGACGTCAGCAGCTTATAGATTTTCCCTGAAGCACAGGCTAGCTTCCCATTTCATTCCTCGCCTCTCATTGAGTTTTAATCTTTAAGGTTTTACCTTGATGTTGAAGAATATATTAATAAGATAGTCTTTCCTATGACAAATGTGCTTTACACTATAATGAGTATAAATAAATATCTTCAACAATGTAAGAATGTGATTTATTAAAATCCAACATGAAAATCTTTGAAGCTTATATATTTCAGTTGCTCTGATCTCAAGAGCAAAAATATTGTAATTGGGAACACGTAATTTGTCTCTACTTTTCTCTTATTTGGAGTAATTTTACATTTTTTGCATCATACTTCCTTCAAATAAAATTCTCATCCCCAAATAACTAGTATCAATACTACATTTTCTATGTTTATTACTGGTGTTTTTGACTTACTAGTTTTTGTCTTAAGATTTTAAATATTATTTTCTATTATTTTTGAGACACAGTCTTACTTGGCATCATAGCTCACAGCAATGTCAAGCTGTTGGGCTCAAGTGATTCGCTTGCCTTAGCCTCCCAAGTAACTGGGACTACAGGCACCCATCACAACGCCCAACTATTTTTAGAGGCAGAGTCTTGCTCTTGCTCAGGCTGGTCTCAAACCTGTAAGCTCAGGCAATCCACCTGCCTGTTTGGGCTGCTATAACAGAATACCGTACCTACCAGAGTGCTAGGATCACAGGCGTGAGCCAGAGCACCTGGCCTCAACCTTATATTTAGGTCATTGTTCTTAGAACTTATCTCTCTAACGCTAATTCAACTTTTTCCTTCTCTATAGATTGTGTAGTCAGTAAAAAAGATGTGAAATTTACCTTAAATGATTTGAGTTGGACTCTCTATAATTTTTCTATAAATTATTACTATGTGAAAACATAAAATAGATAAAATATTATTTCACATATAAAATGTATTTCTTTCAGATGTTGTATTCCAAGTAGTTAAATAAATGAATTTATAATAAAGTGAAAATATTTGCTATTATCTGTTCTTTTGACAAACTTTATAATATATTTTATTGTATTAATTTTATCCCAAGGAGTTTTTCTTATGCTATGGTCAGTAATAGGAAATAGATTTTAGCCAAACTATATGAAAGATGCAAAATACTAAAATCTGACTTAAAAACAATTTTATTTTATTCCATCACAATATTAGGGTATATTAGTCTTTTATACCTGATATTAATATCTTACTTAGTACAGAGTTTCACCTTACTATATAATATTTAAAAGTAGTGTTGCACCATAATCTGGTAAAGATTTTGAAATCAGAGAGACCTGTCTTTATTTTTCTGCTCAACCACTTATGAGGCTGTACAGCAAGTTAGTTATTTTTCTTCATGCTTTAGGTTCTTCATCGGAAATATAGGAATAATAAAACCCAGCTGACCAATTGTTTTGAAGATTTAATGCCATATAGTTTGTTTAGTATGGCTCTTGATATGCAGTAAATGTTCATAATTATTATTCAGTCAACAATTAATAATTACATACCTACTTTGTGCCAGGTTGTATTTGTAGAACTGGGGATAACGCAGTAAATAAAGTCTGAACACTTAGGGTTATGGACAATTTCTTTTTAAAAAATATATCTTGCAAACAGACATTCTGTCTTAGAAATTAGTGATGTTTCCAAAGATATCATAAGTATGCTCCAAACTTTGGATTTGAAATAGAGAACTCAAAATATTTTCTAGAGCAGTGGTTCTCAACCTTTCTACTGCCGCAGCCCTTTAATACAATTCCTGTGGGTCACGACCCACAGGTTGAGAACCACTATTCTAGAGTAAGTTTATATAAGAATTCGATTCAGTAGTTTAAAAGTTTTAGTGCATTAATTTAAGTATGCTATGCCAGAAAATGTCTATATCTATCTAACCATAGCCACAATTTTTTTATCCCTAGGCAATGAAAACTATAAACAAATAGCAATGTGTGTTCTTTACCACATAAGCATGGACGACCGCGTTAAGTCAATGTTTGCATACACTGACTGTATACCACAGGTAAGAGGCTTCAGTGTTTAGAGAAAAATAGTCAAGATATATATATATTTTTTATTCTCTTCTCTTGATTTGTCAAGTATCCTTTTCCTCAAAAAAACTTCTTATAAATAAGATAAATTTGTTATATAGAATTTGAAATTATAGAACTATATAAAAATGAAAATGACTTTTTGTTATCTCAAACCCAAAGAAACTATTTAAATTTTGATATCCGTTTTTCTGTTTAAAAAATAATAATACATTGGAATTATATGGTATATGCAATTTTTGTATATTACTTTAGTAGTAAACCATGAATATACTCCTATGTCACCGAATTCTTCAAAAATTATTTCTAATATTTGTAAAATGAAAATGACTTTTTGTTATCTCAAACCCAAAGAAACTATTTAAATTTTGATATCCATTTTTCTGTTTAAAAAATAATAATACATTGGAATTATATGGTATATGCAATTTTTATATATTACTTTAGTAGTAAACCATGAATATACTCCTATGTCACCGAATTCTTCAAAAATTATTTCTAATATTTGTATAATACTGTATGATGTACCATAATTTAAATACTGTTTAATTTATTAATAAATTGCATGTTTATATTTTTT